TTCAGATGATGTTTTTCCATACAGCTTCAGATCATCCATGTAAAGGAGGTGGGATAGTCTGCAGATGTTTTTGATGTTTGATAGCCATGTCCTGAGTTATTCAGTATTGTTGACAGAGGAAACAGTGCAATAACAAATAGTAATGGTGATAATGAATCTCCTTGAAATATTCCTCTCTTGATATTAACCTCTCCCAGCCTCTCACCATTGATCTGCAACTGTGTCTTCCATTGTGCCATCGATCTTTGCACAAATTTTCTGATGTTTCTACTGACTCCTGTTATTTCTAGGCACTTTATTATCCAATCATGTGGCAGAGAGTCAAATGCCTTTTTGTAGTCAATCCATGCCACATTCAGGTTGGTCTTCCTTCTCTTGCAGTTTTCCAAGATCATTTTGTCTATTAGGAGTTGATCTTTTGTTCCTCTGCTATTGGGGCGGTTTCCTTTCTGCTCAGGTGGAAAGAGATTGTTTTCAACTAGATGCTGTTGCACTGCATCAGCTACTACACCAGTTAGTAATTTGAAAGTTGTTGGTAAGCAGGTAATTGGCCTGTAGTTACCTGGTGTTGCCCCTTTTGCTGGATTTTTCATTATTAGGTAGGTTTTCCCAGTTGTTAGCCACTTTTCAATTTCTCCTCCTTGTAGTATATTGTTGAACTGTTGGCAATGAGTGGGTGTATAACAGTTAGATGTTTCAACCAAAACCCATGCAGTTCATCTTCACCTGGTGCTGACCAATTTTTGATTTTCTTTGCTCTTTTTTCTACCATTTTTGTTGTTATTACTAGTTCTTTCATTTCAACTTCTGTTTTATTTGCATCCACCTCTTTTAACCAAGCCGCATCCTTGTTGTATTTCTTTGGGTTATCCCATATCTGCTTCCAGAACTGCACTGTTTCTTCCTTGTCAGGTACTGACTGATTCTTGCAGTTTCTCCATTGATGGATTGGTAGAAACGTTTCTGATTGGATTGAAATTGGAGGTTCTGCCTATAGTTTGCAATTCGAGCTTCATATCTACTGATTTTCCTGGCTATAGCTGTTATTTGTTGCTTTATTATTTCCAGTGCTTCCTTGATCTTCCTTGTTTCTAAGTGGTATTTCTTGATTAGGTATTCTTTGGTCTTCTTGTTCTTCAGCTTCTTTTCTTTCATCTGTTCTAGCTTGCTTGCATGTGATCTTAACTTGCTGATCTTATTTTCTAGTCTAACCTTCCATTTTTCTGGTGCACTGTTTGTTTGTTTTTCTTCTTTGTTGATTTTGCATCCCAGGTATTCTGTTATAACTGCAGCTGTGCTGTACATTAGTTGGTTTGTTTCTTGCAGTGAATTGGTGCTTATACTTGCTATTGCAGTATTTGCATCTTTTAATGCTTGTGCTAGCTGTTTCTTTGGAACAAGCTTCAATGCAGGTAGCCTTATTCTGTTGTTTTTGTGCTGTTCTAGATGCTCAGTTATTCTTTGTTTCAATTCTTTTATTTCTTTAGTTAGAGGGTTTTGTTCTTCCTGAGGAGAGGTGCCTGGTTTCCAAATGAGAACAGTTGTATATCTCTGCTGATTCCTTCACTGCCAACTCCCCCTGGTTTGCCTCTACATTCTGAATTACTTCTGGTAAGGCTTTGATTTCTTTGCCCTGGGTAAACCTTTGCAGTTCGTCCAATTCTGTTTCTGTGAATACTTTATTTCGTGTTATAAATCGGCGTTGATCTGCTAGTCTCTGTTCTGTTATTTCTGATTCTGGATGTTGTTCTTTCCAGAACTGGTGCATTCGTTTTAGATATCCTCTTCTTGTTGGACTTGATCTGTAGTAACAGATCATTATTTCTTTGTTTTCCATCACTGTGTATCTGCGACGGGTAAACACCTTTTCTTCCAGTAGTTCTGCAGCTGCTGGCCCTGGTTGCTCAGCCAACAGTCCTGAGTCCTGTAACCCATTTTTCACCAGATATCCAGGAACTCCAATATCTAGTGCGGACCTTGTTAACCCGGGCGACGTCCGAGCCGGTATGGCATTCTGAATTTACGTCTCACCATATTTTTTATGGGAGAGACACTCTTTGTCTGACTCCTCTGATGATGTTCAGACTGGATTTGGCATTTTGTCTACCTATCGAGTCCTTACCCAGGACCTGGGATAGGCAGATGTGGATGTTTGATGGTATTACAGGTATCGTCGCAGAATGGAAGCAGTTCCTAGTAAGGCCACCTTTTGCAATTGACTAATGCAAATTTGTCAATGCCAATGGTGTTCAAGTGGTGCTCCAGTTGTTTTGGGATTGCACCCAAGGAGCCTATGACTATTGGTACTACCCTTGCTTGCTTTTGCCACATTATTATTATTATTATTATTATTATTATTATTATTATTATTATTATTATTATACTTAACACTATTCTCTAAAACATTTTGTTGGTTTTCCCCTTCCATGCTGTAGGGAAATATCTGGGCTCTGGGATAAGTCAAGCATTGTCACTGGAAGAGTGACTGACTCCGAATGATTAAAACATGTCTCTTAAAGTTCAGACCCATGTACCTGGCCAGGATTAGTTTGTTAGCTGCCTAGGTTCATAGCTTTTCCTTCTATAATGCCACCCTTCCATTCTTGAGTAAGTAGAAAACAACACTGCCATAAAATGTGCTACTCCCACACTAATTGTCCCACAAGTTCTTTTTCTAAAAGGCAACTGGACTTTATTGGCTTTTGAAAATGGTTTGCTTCTCATCCAAGAAGTTTCTTCAATTCAGAAGCGAACAAAAACACTAAGAAAGTGCAATTACCTTTTGGGAAAAGCACCTTTGGGACAAACATGACCTGGAGGACTGAGAATATCCATAGACACCTATCACCGATTGTTACTCCATTTCTATTTGGTCTGTTCTGAGTCACTGCTGATTGGCCTCTAGGGTGACACAGATATAGCCAAGATCACCAGTTAGGGCATTATAGCAGAAACGAGGAGAACATCAGTCAGAAATGCTCTCTAATTATGCAGCACTCTAATTATGTGTTAAACTGCACACTGCTGTACTATTCTAGATCATCTTACAACATAAATTGGACAAAAACATCCACCATAAAGAATAACCTACCCACAAACAACATTTTAACATAGTAAATTCAACAACACATCAAAATAAGATCAAGAACAATACCCAACAAATGCCAATGGTGAACAACAATTTCCCAAAGCCCTCCAGAAAAGTTCAGCAGTCGCTCATTTCTGGAAAACCATCACTGAGGAGCCAATCTCAAGAGGACACTGTTCTTTTATGGCAGGGGTGTCAAACTCAATTTCATTGAGGGCCGCATCAGCATTGTGGTTGCCCTTAGGGGGCCAGGTGGGTGTGGCCAGGGTGGGTGCAGCCTACTGGGTGGGTGTGGATGGAGTGGGTGCAGCCTACTGGGTGGGTGTGGCCAGCTCTACATCGTTCATGTCAAGAGTGCCTGCAGGGACCTGGGCAGGAGTGGGATCTGAGGGTCTCTGGAAGAAGGGGGTGGGACCAGGGCAAGCGCCAAGGCATGGTCCACTGGAGGAGCCTCGCTGTTCCTCTCAGGCCATGCAGGGGGGGGGGGCTTATGGAGCTAAGACTGAATGCGTTTCAGCATAGATGGCCACCCCAAAATTGTACATTGGCTCCCAGCTGGCCTGGGCCAGGGCCAAGGCAGAGGGGGCCGTTCCCTCAATGTTTCCAGGATGGCTTCGCAGGCCACATGAAACCATTTCATGGGCCGCATCCAGTCCCCGGGCCTTGTGTTTGACATGTCTGTTTTATGGCATTTATATGTGTTTCATAAGTTTAATGTGATCTTAGTAAACAGTGCCAGTCAACTTAAGATGCTACATTTTGGACCAACAATCTCGGGGCTAGCACAGAAGTACATTCAGAAGACAAATCCCACCTTATTTGGATTCATCCTTAGCCTTTTCATCTCAACCAGATTCTAGCCGTCTCTAGGCATCAGGACAAGATGTCAATAGCATTTCTTAGCATGGCCTGACATGGCAATTATAAAACTGAGTATTATCAGCATGTTAATATTGCAGCCAAACCCTGGGGTAAGGGGTGGGGTGGAGACAAATTGATCGCTGTGGCACCTCACTGTGTCTCCCTTTCCCCCTACCACCCATGGATTCCCTGGGGCAGGGGGAAACCCTCTCAATTTCCATAGATAGTCCAAAAGAAGTTCATGGTTGATGGTATCCGAAGCCACCAAAAGATCTAAAGGGACCAAGAGGGGTGCATTACTCCCATCAGCACTTAACAGTGATTCTAGGTGACCTTTTCCTGCTTAGTGGCACAGATCAAAGTGCCACAGAAGACATAAGAGCAGGACAATCTTCTTGTACTGAATAACTGGCACCTAGCAAGAGATCAAATTCTATATATTATTATATATAGAAGGCTTCGTTCTCCCTCTCTGAGAGGGATGGACGGCTTAAAAATATGAAATATGAATAAAATAGATCAATAAATTATCATTACTTTTCCAAAAGTTACATCAGAAGAGATACGATGGCAATTCTGAGTAATATCTTTTGCTGTTCTGGACCTCTCAGTGTTACGTTGCAACCCCAGTTTGTGCTGACTCAGTGAATATTATCAGCATGAAAGTCTACATCAAAACAAATGCATCATTTGCAAACAGATGTTTCCTAACTCTTCCCTTTCTTTATAAACTTTCTGGAGAAGATTCATGTTTGGAATGGAATAGCGGTGCTGGAAAGAGGGCGGTTAATTTTTTTCCAAATTGTACTGTTTTTCTGATTTAAACTTTTTAAAGTTTAAATAATGTAAAAAAAAAAAATGCTATACAGAGATGTGCCCTCCATTTTTTTTGCATATCTTCTCTGTCTGGAAAAAAAAAAAGAATCTTCCTTCTTCAACTTCATAAGACTTTTCAGGGTTTTTTCAAACTTAGTACATGATTGCAACGTGGCAAGAGTTGTGCTGATGTGGTTGACTTGCTTCCAACACTCTTCCCTTTTCTGCTCCCTGACCTCCTCATCAGAGGAGTTTCCCATGAGATTGACTTAAAATTTGAGAATTTTGGACAACTGCAGATACCAGCAGAAAAAGCTGATAAAGTGTGGAGATTCACAACACGTCCTGTATTTACTTCACAAAGAGGTAAAGGCAAATGTTACATGTCAAAAACCCAAGAGAAGCTCACTGAAATATTTTTTCCCTTGAAAAATAATTGAAAAAAAAAAAGGTTCCTTTTGCATCAAACCGAGGAACAACAGTTGAAAGATTACAGGAGTAAATAATATGTCTATTTCAGACACTATAATGTTTATGAAGTGAGATAAAGGAAATTTGGGTTACCTGAAAGTTGAATACTATGGATATTAAAGATCAATTGGAAATACGTAATTAAAAATGACTTAGGTAAAATTTAATAACAGGACATTGATTGTTTATTGAGATTTATTAAGATACGTATAAGCAAAAAATGTATTTATAAATGCGATAATGAAATTTATACTGAATTTTGATATAATTTGAAATTTATTAGTTTAAATATGAAATAGTAAACTTTAAAGGAAACAGAGAAGAAATTTTTGATGCTGTAAATTTTTGATGCTTTAAGGGAAACAGAGAAGAAATTTTTGATGCTGAAATTTTTGATGCTGAGATATCTACTAAAGACTGTATTATTGAATTATTGTTTAACTCAATTACCACATTGCCTTCTAAATACTTATATGTAAAACTGGATAGAATAAAATATCTTTAAAAAAAAAGAAAGATTACAGGAGGAAACTTTGGCACCACACAAGTTAAAGTACCACACAACATTTAATAAAAATTTGTGAATGACTTTTTTCTAACAGTCAAGAAATAACTGAGGTCAAGAAAATGGAGCAAGGGGATAAAGTTCTACTGTTTTTCTAATATCATCGATATTATGGGTCAAAACTGAACAGAAATATATTTTGTGGCTGTGAAAGGAGTGTAAACAAACTTTCCAATCTGAAATGTTTATTTCCACGGGTTATCAGTTTGCCTTGAACTCTTTTAAAGATTGCTTCTTGTGAAAAACAAGCATATTGAAGTTGTGGTCAACTCTGAATTTCCTAAACAAACACATTTTAATTTTAGAACTGAAGACTTTGCATTAAAGAGCTTCCTATTTTATAGAAAAACAGCTTTAGAGAGTCAGCAGTTGTTTCCAACTACGCCATCTACTGGCAAAAGAAAGGAACTTTGTAACAGCTAAATATTTCAAAATACAGGTAGTCCTCAGCTTACAACAGTTTGTTTTTATTTATTTTTTTATTATTTTTTATTTTTTATTATAAATTTTTACAATTTTACAGTAAGAACCCCTTCCCCAATCCCTCCCAACCCACCCCAAAACCCTCCCCCATTCTTCCCAGAGCTGAATACAGGGTTAACTAGAACTTAAAGGAAAAAACTTTTGAACCCAAATAAACCTTAAACAAATATAATTACATTCAATAAACAAATAATTAAATACTTTAACTCCATTATATATAAAAAACAGAAAGAGAAAAAGAAGAAAATAAAAAAATAAAAAAATGATAGTAATAATAAAAAAAAACAAAAAACAAAACTATTCTACACTTCTAAATAATATCTTAAACTAAGTATAAATTATTCAAAAACTAAATGATATTTTCTTATATCATACTTATATTGTATAAAATTTATCCATCTTTTCCACACCAAGAAGTACTTCTCTTGCGATTGATCTTTCAAGAAAGCCGAAATCTTTGCCATTTCAGCTAAGTAAGAGACTTTAAAAAACCATTCTTGCGAAGTAGGCAAAGATTCCGTCTTCCAATATTGCCCTATTAACAACCTTGCTGCTGTAATTAAATTTAACATTAAAATAATCTCTCTATAATTAAGTTTAACGTTAAAATAATCTCTTTGTCATCACAATCAAAAACAATACCCTCATATAAGCTTTACTTACATCCCATACCATTGCCATTGAAGTTCCTTTATGCATATTTAAAACAAAATATTCCTTTAAATACTCTTTAAGTTTCTGAACATTCATTTCTTGTCTAAATAAATTTTCATTCAACCTCCAAGATCTCCTCTCCTCTTTTTCAGTAACCATTTCCATCCACACTGGGCTGTGATCTGTCAGTGTCCTTAAAAGTATCTTTACATTCTTTACCCTAAAATATAAGTCCATTGTAACCAAAAAAAAAAAAAAAGTCAATTCTTGAAAAGCCTTAAGTAATTTAACCATCTCCATCATCCAGTAGCCTAGGAAAGACTGCTTGAAGATCTGCCATTGAGGATTGCAACCGAAGATCTCTTAAATCTTACTCCTCCCACAGGCTCAGAAACAAATTTTATAGGACTTCTTTAACCTCTTTCTTCTGTTGTTCCTTTTCTTTACGTCTATATGCAGCCCGAGTCATTCTCTGCTCTTTCATCTCAGCATGCTGAAACCACTCAGCCTGTAGTTTTCCAACTTTCAACAATACAGCTTCTTCAGACTGCTGTTCTGCCTCCTTCTCAACCAATACTTTTAACATTATAGGTGGTGATGAGCGTGCTCCCAGGACCAAAGTATAAAACTCCTTTGCTTTAGAAACAGTATTAAGTCTATAACGTGTCCCCGCATGGCTCACCACTATTCCAATCGGAATATCCCATCTAAATGGCATCTGCCTCTTTTTAAGTTCATCTGCTAAAAAGCAAACTCTTTTCTTCTTCTTAAAATTTTAGATGGGATCTCCTTTAAAATTATAACATCTTGTGCAGCAATCTGAAACCTCTTGTTATAAAAAGCTTGTATAATTTCATTACGCAGAGATCTTTTTCCAAAATAAATTACCACATCTCTTGGCAGATTTCTTTGCTTTGCAATCCAAGAATTGACTCTAAATATTTTTTCAATTTTTCTAAATATTTCCTCTTTTTCTCTATCCAGAATCACAGCAAAATCATTTGCTGCCATCTCTCTCAAATCTTGTTGCATATTCTCTCTCAGACCCGATTCTTAAAGCAAGTTCCATCTCTCTATATTGAAACATGACAATCTCCTCTTGTAAATTTTCCATCTTATTTTCCATTCCTTCAAATTTCTCCTCCAACACCTCCACTTTATCTGCAACTCCTTTAACACGAAAATCCAATTTTTCAACCACAGAAGCAAGTCCTTTTAAAGCCAAAACTATATCTTGCCTCAAAATACTATTATTCTCCATTAAAAGCTCTTTCACTTCACCTCTGATTTGAGATATAACATTTCCCATTATATCTTGCAAGTCTTTTACCATTATTGGTTGCATAGGAAGAGAAGATGGTGGTATGGCTTTAGGTTGTTGTGCTGGTAACATCGCTGGAGAAGAAGCCACCTTAAATGCTGTAGAAGTTACTTGGCGTTTTGGAGCCATCTTTTTTTTTTTAAATTTTCTTCTTTCCTCCTTCTTGAAAAATACAGAAAAAAAAATCCCTTAAAAAAACAAAAAAAAGATAAACAAAAAAGAGGGAAAATATTCCCTAAAACCCAAATCCTCCTTCAAAAAATCATTATAAAAAAGAAAAGTAAAAAAGAAGTAGTTAAGTAACCAAGTCCGTTCTGTTCCCTTAAGAAAAAGGGAAAACCTCCAATCGCCATTTTACTTTCCCTCTCAACAAAATAAAAAATAAAAATAAATCTTTAAAATTAAAGTCCAAATAAAATCACAAGATAAAATCCTCTGTTCAGCTCTGTCCGCTTTTTAAATAACTCACCAGTTCTCTTTAATCGCGGAGGTGGGAGCGGCGTCTTGCTTTGTCCCCAACAGCGGGAGACAAAGACAGCTGAGAAGCAGAGACATCCTGAACTCCGTGGGAGCACTCTTTTCACTCCCTCCCCCAAATCTTTTGGGGATTTCAGAGGCTCTACTACTATTCAGGATGATACTCCCCTCTCTCCCTTTGCCCGGGAAGGAGGTTTCAAACCGCGGAACAGCTGATGCCTGTTGTTCTCAGCGGTTTTAACGCTTACTCAGGAGGACGGCTACAAAGTAGCCGCCATCGCCAGCGCAAACCACCGGAAGCTCCAGCACAACAGTTTGTTTTAGTTCAAAGTTATAACAGCACTGAAAAAAGCGACTTGGAGAAGCCAGATTCATTTAACAACCAGGTTACTAACTTATCAGTGGCAGGGATTCACTTAACAACTGTGGCAAGAAAGAGCACCAAATGGGGCAGAACTCACTTAACAAATGTTTCATTTAACAACAGAATGTTGGGCTCAGTTGTGGTCATAAATGGAGGACTACCTGTACTTTGTACTATAGCATAATTAATACCCTCTAGCTGTGCTGGACTACCATTCATGGTGTCTTCTGATTATACTGGTTGTGGATAATGAGAATAATACTGCAGTGTGCCTATAAGTGTGATGTTTCCCTTGAATGATTCCCCAGATACCTCCTCAGATGTCGGGGGAGGATGAACCAATTCCTGGTACATCAGGAACTGAGTTGATTGAAGGCTCTGAACAGCCAATCTGGAAGGGATTTGGCTGAAGCTCCAGCTGGGGAAAACCTGCAGCAGCAGACGGCCAGCAACAAGGAGGAGGAACTGCCTTCTGCATTTGATCCAAGAACATATAGGGCAGAGAAAAGACAGGAGCAGAGAAGGTCAGCCAGACTACTCGAGAGAAGAGGGCCCCAGCTATTTTGATGGGCTGCACCAGAAGCCGGCTATTTATCACAGCAGACAGATGGAGGCATTGCTGGAACAATGTGTTTGTTTTCTAGCTGTGTGTTTGGTCATTGTGATTCCTGCTTCACTCTCGATTGACATTCTGTTTAGAATTGAATCATGCCTTGGAGACTCTGAATTTTCTTGCCTCATAATCTCTCTTCTATGTGAATTTAAGTTTTGCCTGATGGGTTTAAGTTTGTATGGTGGAGTTATTTTGTTTGAGCAACTTTCAAATGTCTTGTGGACTATTGGGCCATTGCTCTGTGGACTAACTTTGGTCTGCTTGTGGCTGGACTTGTTTGGGACCATTCTGGATTTTGATGAAGGGAATTGCTGGGGAATATTAATAAACTCACTAAACCACAGTTATGTGTTTGTGTGAATGGGGCAGCACAATAAGGTACAAAACTGGCAAACATGTTAGACTGGGTTTGCATATCATGCTAAACTATTGTTTATTTAAACATGATTTATTAAATGAAAGTTAGATACTTTTACCATTTTGACAAGCCATAAATCATAGTTTACAAGAAACAATTGCTGGTTTCACACAACATGCCAAGAAAATCCCAACAAACAGTTATATATGTTAATGTTGTATGAACTCAGTGTTACCCTGAATTAGGAATTAATAGAAAGCAAAATCTTTAGGGAGGGAATACTTTTATTTATTTAGCCAGCTAATTGATATCCTTTCTTTGCACATATAAAATGCTTGATTTACCCAAATTTATGCAATAGCTGCTAATTATGGTAAGGAGCAGGAGTATAAACTATGCAGAATAACAGACATTAATAACTGACTTATGAAGAATATCCATTCTTGCACAGATAAGCTGATTCACATATATAGGTCGGCTACAATCATACATTAAATCATAAAATAATTTGACTGGTTATAGTTTAGCAGTTTGTATAAACCCAGCCATTTGTGATTTTATATAAAAATTGTGGCTAAGCACAAAACCTTGTATGAGTCAGAGTTTTGGCCTTGATCCTCAAGTCACGAGAACTACAAGTGGACTTCTGAGTGTCTCAGATATTTCAGTCGCCCTAGCTTCTTTTTAAGGCTACATTAATAACTCTATTTTGAATAATACGTTTCCTTTACCATTGAGCACTCAATCAAACATAGGAACTGGAGCCTCTGTCACTAAGTAATGTGGTTATTAAGTGAGTCACACTCGATTTTACAGTGGGTTTTTTTGTGATGATTGATAAGTGAATCAAATGGTTTTTAGGTAAATCTGGCTATTCCTATTGATGTTGCTTGCCAGAAGCCCCATGGGAAGGTCCCAGATGGTGATCACATAATCCTGGTTCACTATAACCATTGTAATTACATGCCACTTGTCAAGACTCAAATTAAGATCAAAGTAAGTCAAGAGCCGTGGGGGTGCAGTGGTTAGAATGCAGTACTACAGGCTACTTCTGCTGACTGCTGGTTGCCAGCAGTTCGATTCTCACTGGCTCAAGTTTGACTCAACCATCCATCCTTCCAAGGATCCAGATTGTTGGGGGCAATATGCTGACTCTGTAAACCGCTTAGAGAGGGCTGTAAAGCACTGTGAAATGGTATGTAAGTCTAAATGCTATTGCTATTTTTCAGCATCATTGTAATTTCAAAGCAGTCATTAATGAGTAGTCTTAAGACAAGGATTACCTGCCCTAGAAACCAAAGGATCACTGACTTAGGCCAGAGCAGAAGCATCATTAGGTAATCAGTTAGTAAGCATGAACCTATAATATAGGCCTCTTCCCAGGTAAGGAATTCCATATTCATGTATATAATTTCATGATTTCTATTTCAATTTGGAAATTAAGTTACGGACCATTCTCCGGTTTCATCAGGCAATGCTTTGCTCCTCACTTCTCCTCTTTTTGGGAGAAGGGAAAGGATTAATGTAATTTATATTTTGCCATAAGACTAATTGCTTAGCAAATAACTGGTTGGCCATTGGCTAACCCTTAAATTGCTATGAATCCTACTTTCTTCTCAGTAAATATGCCTAGATTGTTCAACCAAAGAACCGATCGTTGTCGCCTAAAAAAAAGTGATGGACCAAAGTATTTGCTTTTGCAACTGACTATGGATATCATATAAAGCCCTTATTATATGGGACTGAGAATAGTGCCCACTTGCAATATCTTTATACAGCAATACAAAAGTTTGAAAAACCTGCACAAAGACAACTCTTGGATCAATATGTAATCCAATAGAAGGAAGGTATACACAACATCTGCAGCTTCTAGGAGGGCTGCCAAATCCTATAAGGAGCAAACTGCTTGCATTAGTCTTGACATAAAAAAATGATTTGCAGACAACTGACACAGAAACACAGCCCATTTTCCTCAGTGCATTGACCCCTAGAGTCTTCAACATGGTGCTTGCAGAGACCTTTCTTGACACTGTCCAGTTCCCAGCCACCCGATAAGTTTTTTTAAAATCATATTAATGTTTCTCAATCTTGGCAACTTTAAGATGTGTGAATTCCCCAATCAGCCATATTCTCAGGGCACTGGAAGAATGTGTACCAAGGCCCCACTCCTGTCCCACTGAAACTGAAAAGCTACTTGTCATCAATCTTCAAGACCCTTAGTGCCATCAATGATGAAAAGCCCAGACAACCATCTACAGCGGTTGTGCTCCATTCTGGTTATCATCAGAGGCCAGAGGTCACCATGGCTCTGCAAGATACGAATTCTAGCACTCCTGGCCTAGACTGCATTCCTGCCTCAGACCTACTGACCTGGCACCAACCCTTGCTAGTGACTTACTTCAAATTGCTGCTAGCGGTTAGAAATCCATCTGAATAGCTAATATGCTCTTGAGTGGTGTTTCTGCCAAAGATTGAGAATCCATCTACTTTTATACATGATTGGCACTTACTGGAAAATTTGCTAACTTGCCCAGGAAACAGCTTCTGAAAGACTGATTATAGAAGGATCAAACCAAATTTGGCAGCTGTTTCTCCCATAAGCAAGTGCTGTTGCTATTATTTTGCACACATACTTAGACCCACTCTGAATTCCAAATGTGTGTCATCTCCAAAAAGGTTTGGAATCCAGTATTTCATATATATATATTTCCATGCATGCAAAGCAAGTGCTGCAACAATTGACATTATTTAGAAATCAGGTACAGCAGAGTATGCTAGTACAAGGGTTGATAATGTAGTATGGACAAGAACCAAGACAATTATCAGAACGGAGTCTTTTGACCCCATCCCCAAATCGAAGTTTTAAAATTTCCCAACTCTCATGAGGCTTCCAAATCTCATTTGATGTCAATTACTTTTTGTGAGATCATGCCTGGAGAGAGGCAAGAAGACTTCAAGTGACCTGTGCTATTTTGCAAATGCCATGGTATCCATTGCTACAGGTGTGGAACACAATGAATGAGCTCACCTGTCATGCTAGGTCATCATTTAGCTATCATTGGCTGGGTTCACAAAAAACACTCAGCCAAACCTAAATAAACTACATTATGGTTTAGAATGACCCCTAAATTTGCTTGGACCTTGGGCCATTTAGTTTAGGTTTGCCAACGCAGACATGAAAACATGACATTAGCCCTGTTGGATCAAGCCTAAAGCCATTTTCATTGATCTACAACCCCCCCCCACCTCCAGATGTGAGTTCAGAGGAGGAAGGCATTGCATTCTTATTGCATTCTTTGACCAAGTGACAAAATTAGTGGATCAGAGGAATGCTGTGGATATAATTTACTTGGACTTCAGTAAAGCATTTGATACAGTAGATCACAACCTACTACTTGATAAGATAGAAAAATGTGGGTTAGACAGCATCATCACCAGATGGATTCATAGCTGGCTGACCAACCGTACTCAGCATGTGTCCTCAATGGAACTGCATCTACATGGAGGGAAGTGTGTAGTGGGATGCCCCAGGGCTCTGTTCTGGGCCCAGTGCTCTTCAACATCTTCATCAACGATTTGGACGAGGGGATAGATGGGGAACTCATCAGATTTGCAGACACCAAGCTGGCAGGAATAGCCAACACTCCAGAAGACAGGCTTAGGATACAGGAGGATCTGGACAAACTTAAACACTGGGCGCTATCTAACAAAATGAAGTTCAACAGTGAAAAAAGTAAGGTTCTACATTTAGGCAAGAAAAACCAAATATACAGATATAGTATAGGAGGTACCTTGCTCAATAGTAGTAACTGTGAGGGGAATCTCGAAGTCCTAGTGGGCAATCACTTAAATATGAGCCAGCAATGTGCTGCAGCTGCCAAAAAAAGCCAACTGTGCTAGGCTGCATTAACAGAGGGATAGAATCAAGATCACGTGAAGTATTAATACCATTTTACAATGCCTTGGTAAAGCCACACTTGGAATACTGCATCCGGTTTTGGTCACCATGACGTAAAAAAGATGTTGAGACTCTAGAAAGAGTACAGAGAAGAGCAACAAAGTTGATTAGGGGACTGGAGGCTAAAACATATAAAGAATGGTTGCTGGAATTGGGTATGTCTAGTTTAATGAAGAGAAGGACAAGGGGAGACATGATAGCAGTGTTCCAATCCCTTAGGGGCTGCCACAAAGAAGAGGGAGTCAAGCTATTTTCCAAAGCGCCTGAATGCAGGACAAGAAGCAACGGATGGAAACTAATCAAAGAGAGAAGCAACCTAGAACTAAGGAGAAGCTTTTTGACAGTTAGAACAGTTAATCAGTGGAACAGCCTGCCTCCAGAAGCGGTGAATGCTCCAACATTGGAAATTTTTAAGAAGAGACTGGAGAGCCATTTGTCCAAAATGGTATAGGGTTTCCTACCTGAGCAGGGAGTTGGACTTGATGACCTCCAAGGTCCCTTCCAACTTTATTATTATTATGAGTTTGAGTCTCCAGAGGAAAGTGTGTAGCTGTGTATTGGTCAGGATCGGGGCTCAGAGAGTGCTGGCCAGATGGAGCAGCCTTAGCTGGGTCTATCAGTGATCAGAGTGATAGGATAAGGCTGAATAAGTTGGCCAGGAGGCAACTGCTTCCCATTAGTAATTAGAAGATGGTGGAGTCCATACTTCCTCCTGCTGGAAGGACATCTAGAGGAGAGATGAGACAGGTGCAACACCAGTTAGCTAGGCTACTCATGAGGAGGTAACCTCACCCCTCATGAAAGGCTGCACCGGGTATTGTCTACTTAATCTTACTCTGAGGACTTGAGTATTGCTGGAGCAACGTGCCCAGTTCTGTGCTTTGTGTGCTTGTGCTGTTATGTTTGAATTGTGGATTGCTTTCCTGGACTTTGTGTGTGCCTCTTGGACTCAGTTACCCAGTGGCTCTTGCTGTGCTGAGCTTGGAATCCGGATTCCTACAATGGGGATGCTTTCTAAGCACCTGTCTGAGGAGTTTGAATAAACACTTGTAGAACTCTTGCTTATGGGGGGGGAGGAGGGCACCACACCCATTTAGTAATATTCAACTCATAGTAGTCCATTAGAAGCTCCAGCAAGCCCAGAGATTATAGCAGCCTCCTGTCCCAATGTTGTTCTTATGAATCTGGTAGATACTCCATTGCACCCACTAAGATCCAGGGGTGTCAAACTTGCGATGTCATGTGATGTGTCATGACACATCACACCTTTTTTTCCATTGCTGGCAATGGGGTGGGTGTGGTTTCGCCATGAGGCATCCAGCCCGTGGGCCGGCAGTTTGACACCCCTGTGTGACTAAGCTATTAATGACCACAGACATTGCTGTTCTCTAGGAATATGTCTAGTCTTCTTTAGAAGCCACCTAAATGAGAATGAATAGTATGTTTCTATAGCTACAGGCCACTTTGTTTCCCCAGAGATGCTGGGAATTAAAAGATATGCAAAATGTCCCTGGGTTACAAAGATCCAGCCCTAAAATAATCTTTTTTAAAATGGATCACTTCCAATAGGATGGATAAGGTAATAACAGAACACTTCCAGTGAGCTTTTATTACCAAGAATGGATTATTTTGCATACTTCTAGAGATGGAATGAATTTGGATCCTTCTGCATTCAAAACATATCCTTTAACAATGAACTATGTCCTCTCTACTTTTTTTGGGGAGGGGTGGGGAAGCAGTAACATTTGCAGCAATATATAATTATGCCAAATTGAAGGCCATTTGGCATTCTGATGGATCCACTGGCATTCTGCTATAGGATACAAATATGCAATGATGTCATGTATGTGGCATCCCTTTGCTTCATTCCTCATGAATACCCATAGGGAGAAGAAACTCTTCTTGTATGTAGAAATTCAGTGTAGGAAATCAAGGTTAGGAATGACTAGTTTTTTCACTGTTCTACTTGAAGAAACTTTTATATAAAACTATATTCAGAGAACATTTTTGTCTTGTAAGTCTGCAGGGGTACGGATTATTTAGCCACCTTTTTCTACTGCCTCCACTAAGACCAGATTTATTTCCTTGCAAATACACTTAGAATTGGATTCTGGAGATTACACAAGACTTTTCTCCATAAATCATGGGTCACAGAAGATGTAAGGGACAGCATGTACTGGAAATTCTCTAGCGATGTCTTCAAATCAGCAGCATGAATTGCTTTTCTAGAGACTGATTTATTTCTATTCACAAGTTTTCATTCAGCCACTTGAAATAGCTGTCTCTGGTGTGAAGTCCTGCAGAAAAATTAAGTGGCCAAATGGTGAAGAGCATGCAGCCATGAAAACAGTCTTCAAAGTGATCAATAGTGACGTCCACACCTGCTTTCTCTAACCGCTTGGCATACATGAGACCATCATCTCTCAGAATATCGATCTCACAAGTCATAATATAACTTTTGGGCTGCAGGCGTAAAAGTTCTTTTTCAGCCAGAAGCGGAACCGCATGGACATCTAATAAGGCAGGAATATTCTGGATGATTTCAGATTTCCCTACGGTATGAATTACTGGCTTGTAATCCTTCCTGAATCTTGAAGGCAGGAGAAAAGTCCAGTCTAGTCGGTCTCTGAAGGTATTAGCCTCGCTCACATCCAGAGATGTATGATTGTTCATCAACATGGGCTGGACAAAATCATAACTTCCATTGAAATATTCTATCCAGAACTCCACCATCACTGAGCGTGACAGGATCGGGCTGAGTTTGTTCTGTTGGTATGAAGGAGTATTAAAATCAAAAGGCTGAAGGACAGGATAGATTAGGGCCTGAAGCTTAAATCTATTGGTCATGTTCTCCTCTTGACTTATCTGTAGAAAGAAGAGAGAAAAAGGGGAGTGATACAGTCAAACAATCCATGACTATAGACCCCAAACATACTGACCCATAGTTTATTTTGATCAAGTTTGTTGGAAAATCCAGTGGAATGGCTTCTTCAGAAGTTGTGGGTGCTCTGTCACTGGAAGTTTTTAAGAAGAGATTAGAAAGACATTTGTCTGAAATGGTATAGGGCCTCCTGCCTGAGCAGGGGATTGGACTAGAAGACCTCCAAGGTCCCTTCTAATCATGTTATGCTGTAATTCTGCATTC